TGTTTATAACTATTATGGAAAGTTGTATTATTCTAATAAAATAGTGTCACATTAATTAGTACAAATTATATTAAGATGTATTATTCTAATAAAATAGTGTCACATTAATTAATACAAATTATTTTATAATATGATATTGTGTTCTTAAGCTATAAATTTTTTAAACACTTCAAATAATATTAAAATAATAAATAATAAAGTTTAACCTTAAATATGTTAGATGAATTTGGATTTCATTCCAAAAGTTAGTTTAAATGGTGAGTTTGTTCTCATACATTTATTCATTTTACAAACAGAGAATTAACTAGTGTGAGACTCTAAGCAAACTACAAACAATAATAGTATCCATTATCATCCATAATGTGAGTCTGAGTAAAATTTTTACATTGTAATTCTTTAACTAAACTCTGATATCATTTAAAATGGTTTTGGATTTCATCTCAAAGATAGCTCAAAGAATGTAGTTGTCCCTCACACATTTATACATATAATAGATTGAAAATCTAAGCAATAAAAAACTCAAAACAAACTACAATTAACTTCAATACTCTCCCTCATGTTAAATAAATTTACACATAAGTACTACAATGTGGGAATTAGACTTAGGCCCACATTAGGCGTGGGAGTGTGTGTTGAAATTGTATTTGTGTTGTTAAATTTTTACATTGCTTAACTTTAATCTTTGAGCTATATTTTGAGATTAAAGTTAGGTCTCTAGATCTATGTGCTTGTAGGTTTAACCATCAGTTGGTTTTGATGATGACAATTACAACAACTTTGAAAATAATACATATGTCAAACAACTTGCGGATTTTTGGAGTTCTTTGTAACAAAGGGAGTTAATGTCAATTGTCAAGTAAAGTTTCAAATGATGACACCTGATCAAGAAGATATCTCAAGTCTCTTCAGTTAGAATATTAAAGTTTTAGTTGAAATGCTAAGTTATTTTTGTATCAAGCAAGAGAACTTGAAGATATGAAAATAAGAAAGTGTAAAAGCTCAAACGATCCTGCATTTCTTGTCTTAGAGTGATCTATTAAAATATATAAGGTCAAAAGTAAATCTTGAAGTACTGATGCAATCTTACACACATAAAAGTTTTTAAACCCTCTATTATTTCATAAAACTTCTTGAAAACCTATCAAGGCTTGTAAGGAATTGATCAAGAAAAATTTATAATCAATTAAGAAAGTTTTTACACTGCCTAATCGATTAAGGTCTTGGTTCAATTGATTAAAGTAAGATAAATGACCACTTAATTGATTAGAAAAAATTTTAAACTATTACATCATCTAGTCGTTTTATGGTTTCCTTTTTTGGATTAAGTTTGTCATGTATTGAAAGTCCTTATTCGATTAACATCTAAGGTAAATTGAATAAGTCAATAAATGACCCATGTATTATTTCTATTTTGAGTCAGATTTTTTCTATCCTTTTACACTAAGATTATGAATGGAAAACCTTATATCCTCTTTCTAGTCTCTCTTTCTTTCTTTGTTTTTATATTTTCTTTTCACAAAGATTGTTGTAGTGACAAAAGACTGGAAAAAAAAAATCTTTGTGAGAGTTTTATTGTAATTGATGTTGTACTTAAAATTATTTCATCCAAGAGTGTGATTTTGTTGTAGAATTATTTTTAAAAAAGTTGCACGTTAAACCTGAATAAAAGCTTAGTCGTAGGTTCTTGAGTTTGGCCTATATATAAAAGCTCTAGTTAAAGGTCTTGAGTTTGTCCTATGTAAAATATTTGTTTGAAGGTCCTTAAGAAAATCCTGTGTAAAAGTTCAGTTTAGTGGTTCTTAAACTTAGTCATTGTAAAAGCTCTATTTGTTTTTTGTTGAAAGTTTGTGGGAAAATCCTATAAAAAGCTCAAGTGTGTTTTGTGGAACTCTCAAGTGAAAAATCTTGGAGACGGGAGTAGGTCAAGCGGTTAAGATGAATCTGTATAAATCACTGACATACTTTCCCTATCTCTTCTCTCTTTTATTACCACTGCATATCTCTCTTCATCTTCTTTTTTTAGTTCCACTAACTTATCTCTGTGTGATCATCAAAATCAAAATAGTTGTTTCAAATGATAATCTTTTTATAAACTGGTTTCGATTTTTAACCAACACAATCTCTCCCCCTCCCTCCTCTTTCTTCTTTTTTGTGTTTGTAGCCACTTGAACAACATAGTTAAGAAATGCAGTGTGACATTAAATCCAAGTTAAGGAATGTAATGTGGGGATTGGAATTCGACTCACGCTAAGCGTGAGAGTGAATATTAAATTTTTATTTTGTATTGTTGAAGTTATGTTGGAGTCTCAAATTACTTAAATTCCTATACTCTTGAAAGTTTAAATGTACTTGGACAAATGGAAATATAATTAGAAATTAAAACCCAATAAGAATAATATTAAAAAAAAAAGAAGACAAAGACATAGTGATAAGCGATTTTTCTAAATAACCAAATTTTTTCAACAAAATTCTCAAATAATCATCTTTTCCCATTAATTTCCAAAGTACTAATGTTTCAAACGAAACAAAAATTGCAACACAGCACATGTACATCCAATTGGCGGCTTCATTGGAAAAAAAAGAGGCTTAGTCAATTCAATTGATGTATGCATCCTTTCTAGTAAATTAATCGGCAACTATGTACAAGTCATAGGAGCAACCACCAATTCATATGTCTCCTATGTGTTGGATTCTTTTTTTAGGTGTGTCTTCTACCATTTTTTCACACCTTTTATCATTTTCTTCTTAATATTTTCTCCACTTGTTCTAACATGTGTAGTAATAGAGTTTGACATGTTTTTTTTTCAAGAACCAAGTCTCCAATGAAGATACGTTTTTGAAACATTCGAAGTTTCGAGCAACTTGAGAGAAACTTGATCCTTTGGTTAGACGAAAATATTATGGTGAAAGAATTAGAAGTATTGAGAGTCTTGTTTAAAACATCTCTATTGCAGATGACAATGATGATATCTAACGTATGTGGGTGCTAGTAAAAAATGACAATGATGTTAGTGATATGATGTCTGTACCATATGGTATTGTTTTGATTGTTGTAATCTCTTAGGTATCTTGTGGTGTTAGGTTTTTTTATTTTTTGTTTGGGTTGTTGTTTTAGGCGTGCTTATGTTTGTGTATTGTTGTTTTAGGGATATTTATGTTTGTTTTGTTGTAACCAAAAGCTGTTATGTATATTAAATTCCACGGTTACAAAATTTTTAACAATATAATACATTATCATGTAGAGTTTGTTCCAACATTGAGACAATGTTTCTGTGTGTGTCTGTGCAGGCGACACATACCATGTAATCTTATCAATTTGTCAACCGTATTCATTTTAGTTCTTATATGTGTGTTGTTGGGCGACCCTTTTTTTTCCTTATCATATTTTCGTTGTGTCAAATAACATCCATTTGATATGTATGCCAATATTCCACTTTTGCTACCACTAAGAATCTTTTATTGTATACACGGAATACGTTTACGACTTTGAAAACAGTGGATAAATGCTTGGGAGTGACTTGGCGAACACTTTGAACATGTTGTAATGACATAAGAACAAGACATGCAAAAGGCTGAAAACTTTCCGCTGATGCACTAACCTCGATGTAGTACAACTTGATAGTATCACTAACATAGGCAAAACACTCTAACATCACAATGTCAAAATATCCAACAAACATATGGCTATCAAACACCACATTTACCATTTCTTTCTTTCACCGACGAATCATTCATACCAATGTCATCAGTCAGTCGATCAAACTGCTCACCAATAACCCTATCAAACCCAAACAACACAACTCAACTACAACGTCATGGACAACAAACTCTTTTGCAATAGCACGTCAATGCATACACAAAACTGCATAAATTACAAAAATTTATTAGGGAATCTGGTGACGATGATATTCTAAGGAACTCGTATCAAACACCTGGAGAGAAACAAGAGACCGGTACGAGAAATGGTACCTAGGAATTATGGAACCGATGACATGTTCGATCAAACAAATCATCGTCGTTAGTGTAAAAAATATTCTAGTATGTAATCCTATTTAAATTAAATATTAATAGTTTTATTTAATTTTTTTATTAATTAATTAATTGTGACTGCATTTATATCTTGTACATAATCGTCAATTCAATTGGTTAGACATAATGTAATCACCAATTAAATTGATTAGGTTTCTTATTTGTTAAATAGAGTTATCAATTGGGTTGACATATCCTCTACGTTGCAACAACAAAAAAGAACATTATTTAGAGAATTTTGTTGGAATGTTATTTAAAAAAGAAAAGTAATAAGTTGTATAATTGAGTGTGGCTAAAACTTATACAAGAAGTGTCTGTAGTACAAAATGTGTAATTAGGCACGTTTTACACATGTATTAACTTCACAAATTGATCTTATGAAAACTGGATTAGTATCTTCTCTTTCTTAAATTGTAAAACTTAGCTTCCAACCATTTTTGTTGTTTTTAGTTGCCAATGACCCAAACAGAAAATCCTTCCAAAACTTTTCCAATCTACAATGTTAATCTCAGTTGATCAATAAAGCACATTACAACCAAACATCAATAATCTAGTTCAAAGATCTTTTACCATAAATTATTATGAAGTTACTTAAACACGTCCTAACCAATTTCATTTAATCTCCATGAATAGCATCACAATTTATTATGGACCCAAAAAAAAACATCACACATTGATAACATCTCAGGACCCACATTACAAGACCAGCATTCTGTACAAAAAAAAGGAACCACAAACTTATTGTAGAAACTAGAAATCATTACGGAATCTGAAGTATTTCACGGTCCCTATTAACACAAGCAAACTCTTGTAAATTCTAATCACCTTTCTTTCTGAAAGCAACTCATTACAATAAGCTCAAAAAATAAGCCAATTAAACCGCTTTAAAAGCACAAACGCAGATTTATTGAATAGACAGATGAAATGAAACAACAACGCAAACTTCAATTTATTATTAATTTCAACACTAATTACTGAACAACCACAAGCGCAGCAGCTGCAGCCTTTGGAACAGTGACGACGAGCACGCCGTCGACCACCGCGGCGGTGGCAAGCTCCGGGATTACAGAGTCAGGGAGACGAAACCTCCAGATATCAGGATGAAGATCATCCACCGAAAAGTGAAGTGACTGACTTGCCCTTACAACAATTCTGGTAACACCTGGATGGATGTGAAGCGCGTGCGTCTCCACGTGACCGAGTGAGGAGTCGGTGACCGCCATGAATCGGAAACAGTCAGGTGATTCTTCGATTGCCACGTCAGCATCAGACCGTAACGGAAGTTGAAGAATCCTGCTGAAGACGTGAGGGAGACGCCTTAGTTTGTTGTTGGAGAAACCAGAGAGAACAAGTGTCTCAGCTTGAGAGAGAGGATTCATGGTCATCATCTCGTATTGGATGCTTATGTTCCATTTTCTAATGCAATTCATTGCTCTTCAAACACTCTTCAACTTTTTTTATATTCTCTTCTCTTTTACTCTCTCTGTTATGTAACTTGATTCAATCAAAATCAGTATATGTAAAATAAATAATACATTTTTTATATAAAATAAAGAAAACTTTTTTTATTATTTATTTGGCAATATTATATATAAAATAAAGAATACATTTTTTTTTGGTCAAAAAGAATACTTTTTTTTTTAGTATATTAAAGGTTTACATTTATTAAGATATATGCTTCTGTGTGTGCACGGATTAGAGATTGAATTTAAATCAAAATTGTTATATCCTGCTATATATTATTGACCGAGGTATAACTTTTTTTTATATGGAAGGATTTAAATAAATTTAATAGATATAAATTATAGCATATTGTTTAATCTAACAATAATCAAGAATAAATAGAACGGTGTATCTTATAAGATTGAAGAGACGGTTGTCGAAGTTTGTGAGTACGAGAGAATTACTACTCTCATTGTCGTTTAGGATTTTCGGAGTAGTTTAATTGTGTGATGGGGAGACACTTAAAATAAACGGCTGAGGGTAAGAACCTCTCATTGGGCTTAACTGAATGGTCCAACCCATTATAGTCCATTCAAGCACAAAACTCAATCAAACAATTTATCTATTTAGTGTTTAATAACAATAGACCATAATATAATTAATTAATAATTAATTATGTCAATCCATATTTGATTAATTAAATAATTAATCTAACAATCTCACACTTGAATGACAATAATTAATTATTAAAAATATTGATTCTAGTATTAGAATATCAATAATGGTCAAAACACCAATCAATCAAAAGAAGTAAATTTCAATGCTGCAGAAATTGTATCCGATAGGAAAGACAAATCATATATGTTAAAACTCACAACTTTATATATAAAATGATGACTTTAGAGTAACATATTTAACTTCAAAGTAATATGTTATAAAGAATGACCCAAGCATATGAAAATGCTATTGATAAACTCCCACTAACCCAAAGTATCATAAGACTTACTCATGTGCATAAGTCTATGGTTAGTGATTATACTAATGAGTTTTAAATTATAGGTCATAGAATATCCACATAGGTCTAAGAATAGTAATTACATATAAGAATACCCTATTAACAGAGTAATTACATTTAATTATAAGTATCTTCATAATACAATATCATACTCGATAAGAGTATTGATATTTACTTGTACTTTCATATTATGACCCGACAAATGTGGACTATTAAAGATATAATAACACAATATTATTGCACGATAAATAATTATTGTGTCTTTTCAATATCAACATAAACATCAAATTATGATGTTTCTTGAGATTAAGAAAATAATATATATCTTAGTATAACAGAATAAGACTTTTTATAATTATTTTATATTTTGAAGTCCTTTGAGAATAATAATCCAAAATTTTAGATTATATGATTGTGTTCACATGCAATTCACTCCCACTAATCCAATATGATAAGGATTTATCAGAGGCCACTAATATTAAATACTCTGATTGAACAACGGGGGTGCTAGTGTTATTTTTAGTGCAAAATTATACAGAGAAGTGGTTCTATAATATATCATCAAATTCAACCACATATTTTGCACGTCAATAGAATATATCTTTATTTAGATAATTTACATGAAATAATATGATGGTCCTATAAAAGATTTACCATCTTTTGAGTGAGATCAAATTCATAACTCGCTCAAAACTCAAATGTTATAAGTATAACTACACACATTTGAGAAACATATTACGTTATACGCAGCGGAAAAATATGAGACTTTAATCAAATTTAATATTGAGGATATAGCATAAGACTAAAATATCATCAATATAAGTCTTTATAAAATAATATTATATATTAAAAATAATATTTGTTTCTGAAATCTATATAATTGACATGTTAAATTCTCCCACTTGATAGAGAATAATAGTTGAATTATTAATATTAGAATTTTAAAATATTTAAACAAATATCCAACTATTTTCTGTATCACAATAATCATTCCGGTAACGTCATACCGATAGAGTATGTCCATCACTCACATAATACATAGAGAATTGAAATCCATTTTAATAAAAAAAAAATTATTGGATTTCATAAAGTATTACATGTCTTCAAAAATTATATTTTTTTTCCTTCTTAAATAATACTTTCAACAATATGAAATAAGAAATATAACAATGTATAAATATTATGTGATCAAAAATTCTAATACCGATAGGGTACTTGAACTATAACTTACACAATCATAAATCATAAGTGCATTAAACAAAATAAATTATACTAATAATAATATACCGATAAGGTATAATTATTATCAATATAATATTTATTATAACTAAAATTAATTTAACAAAATTTGAATAACTGTACCACGATAGGTGAGTTACAATTATGCAAATTAAGATTAATTATATTTTATTCAAAATAGGAAAATTTGTATAATTGTATCCACGATAGGTGAAATTACAATTATACAAATTAATATTGATTACTTAATTTTCCATAACAAAAGTCATAAAATAATAAGATTTAAATTTATATATATATATATATATATATATATATATATATATATATATATATATATATATATATATATATATATATATATATATATATATATATATATATATATATATATATATATATATATATATATATATATATATATATATATATATATATATATATATATATATATATATATATAATTGCATAATTTTAATTTCAAAAGGAAGTGAATAATATTTTAAGAAATTCCTTTTTGTATCCAATTATTATATAATAGTCACAAGAGATTCAAAATTAATAAATAATCAAATACAACTAACATTGAAGAGAAATGTGACATTTATCCTTGTGAGTAGAGGTATTAAACTTTAATGACTTTTAGAATATTATAGTATCATCTCAAAATGATTCATAAACAAAGAATAAATCGTTATATCAAAATATAAAACTCTATTTATAAATAATCATAATTCAAGGATAATACAATTTAATTTTATTAAAGAATATCTCAAAATCATTATATATGAAAATTTTAAATATATTTAAAATTTGAATTAAATCAATCATTTTATAACCTATTATATTTAAATATTGGAATATACCAAAACATCAAAATAAATAGAATATCTAATACTATTTATTTGGCATCAACTTAGGAGAGAGTTGTTGAAGCTTATATTGAAACAAGATTATAGGCCAATATCATATTCACTAACATAAAAGAACATAAAAAAAGAATTTTATATTAAAATCAAAAACAATTCTTTACGTCTTAATTAATTAATTAATTATTAAAATTAATATAAATATAGTATCATGTCCGTATAAATTTATCCATCAAAGTGACTAATTTCTTTTATCACAATATAATACGTTTAAAAACTTCCCAAAAATCATACTATGTATTGGCACATACTTTTGAAAATGCACGTTTAATTTGGCGATTAACTGTGATGATATAAAGATTTATCATAATTTTGTGTACGTCATCATTCAATTGAATGAAAAAGGTTAATAATTTGGTAATATATTGTACGTCAGCATTAGCAATATATTGTGGTTAGAAAACAAATTGTTCAGTTCATCACCTATATTTACTGATAATTTCAGAACATGTTTACATTGAATTAACTCTCTTATATAATTTCAAAAAAAACTTGGATTAGAGAGTAGCATGATATACATAGATATTACAACCAAAATTTATTATATTATTAACTAATATCAAACAAAAGTATTTAAAATATATTGAATAATATAACTAATTTGTCATTCAAAATTCATTTCTGCAACGAAATATCTAAAATATGTTTCGTTCATAATCTTTTAATCAACGTAATAAATATATCATAATTTTCAAAGTTAACAAAATAATTGAAGAGATCATTCAAATCTATCACTTTTGTATGTTAGAGATTATAAATAAATCAATTAAGTAATATTGTGCAAAAACAAATAAAATATTTGATATTAATTATTAAGCTAAAAAAAATAGGATCACCTTTTGAAACTCTTTTAAATAATTCTCATTCCACCCACAATAAAATGCAATTATTTATGAATCAAACCTTAAAAATAGGTGAGACATAACAATCTTTTACTAATATACACCTAAAATATAACATACCTTGATTCTAAATATGAAATTTACATGTCAATAAATTTCTAAAATCATTAGATCAAATTATTTAAATATTAGATCTAAATTTTTTTTTAATTTTAAGAAAACCCACCATTTACCTTCAATATGAATTATATAAATTTAGTGCAAGTTTAATTATTTAACTTGTCAACTCAAAACAAATAGAAACCATACACTAATTCAAATCATATAATTCAAACGATAGCTATAAAACGTATCTATGGGGCTCTGATACTAATTGACGGATTTAAATGAATTTAATAGATACAAATTATAGTATATTGTTTAATCTAACAATAATCAAGAATAAATAGAACGGTGTAAGAGACGGTTGTCGAAGCTTGTGAGTATGAGAGAATTACTACCCTTATTGCCGTTTAGGAAGGACTTGTATGAGTTCCATTGAATTATCATTTTTCTTCCTCTTTTTGTCCTTTCCTTTTCTTAATTTGTATAGTTGTTTATCATCACTTTAAGACCAATCAAAGAAATGTAGTTGGTTTTATTTAAAAGTTGTTTATTTGAATATTAAAATAGACATTTTCCTCTATTTTTCATTATAATAATTTTTTTTATAAAATTTATTGAATAATAAATATACTTAGACTATATATATAATATAGATATGTGAATAATTTAATAAATTTAAAATATGATTTTCCTATATTTGAACATTAAAACAGTCAGTATTCTCTATCTTTTATTATAAATAAAAACTATTTTTTTTAATTTACTAAATAATAGATCTATTTAGACAATACATATACTAGATACATGAATTATTTAATAAATTTAAAATATGATTTTACTAGATTTGAATATTAAAA